ACCCCCTGACACTATGCAAGCACAAGTGTGTGCAGCAGCAGGATTACCTCATCTGGAGCAGGAGTGCTGTGAAGAGTGTAGTGAGGACCTTGTAGTCCAGGTCAGGCTTCTCCAGCTCCATGCTCAGCTTCATGGCACGATAGCCTGCCAAGACAAAAGCAGGCTCGCACAGGCTCTCTCTGCAGAGAGCTCTTCTCACAGRGAACGCGGGCGCTACCTACCAACGTTGGCAGAGAGGGGCAGATTTCCCAGGCTGAGGTTCAGATCGGACAGGGCCTGGGCGATTTCTGCAGCATTTAATACCCCTCCTTCAAAAGGCGCCACGTCAGTGCTCAGCTGCACGGCCGCCCACCCGTACTGCAGCCACTCATCCAGGCTGCCCTGCTCCTGACAGTGCTGCGCGTGCTCCAAGTAGCACTGTAGGATCTGAAACAGGCCAAAGAGGCAAGTTTGCAAAAGACTGAATCTTGCCAGGGTGATTTGCCGGCCTACACGACACAGCTCATAAATGCAATGGCCACTTTCTCTCTTCTCTTTCACTCACAGCCTTCTCACTTGGATGACCAACTCAGGAATTCTTAGGCTCTTCTAACTGCCACCATGTCAAAACAAGGGCCACAGCGTGCTTACAAAGATAAGGTTGATGAAAATGGCCACAAGGAAATGCCACAGTATGGAAATGGCTTAAAATTAGGAATCATCCAATGGGAGGGACAACCAAAACCAAACCAATAGCACCGCACGCCTGCTGAAGGCTTCCAAAGAAAAGCTCAAGGGGGTGGTCATCTCCGTGGCATTTGGCCTCTTCTTGCCAGCCAGGAGAAAGGAGCTTTGTCAGAAACGCCTCTGCTGCAGCAGAGAGCAGGCACTCACGTGACTCGCGTGCTCAGTCTCCATGTCTGTGACGAGCTTCATCCGCGCTGCCAGGCGCGAGAGTCTCTGGCCGCTGGAAGTGCTCTGCTGGCCGAAGAGCTGCCGCAGTAAGGCAAGGCAGCGGCTCTGCCGCAACAGCCAGGGCAGCCTCTCCCTCCTGCCACAGGGAGAGAGAAACTGCTGGGCCCAGCCTCTAGTGACACACGGCTGAGTGAGGCCAGGCCCTCCCATCCGGTAGCCTCCAGGGCCTTCCACACTTTTCCCCGGGCTAAGAGCTATGCTCTGCACCGAAGCTGACTGTGTGCCAAAGGCCAGGATGGAAATGGCCCTTTTTTCCCCTGCCTTTCCCTTCAGCGTCTTACCCTGCCTCTTGAGGTCGCGTCCTGCTCTTCCTATAAGAGGCATGGGGTGACTTCTCCAGSAGACACTTCAAGAAGACACCAGCCGAGGTGAGTGGGAATCTCCTCTTCAGGAGGCTCAATGCCTTCCTGATTGTCTTCCCTGCCAGCTCCAGGCATCCCCTATTGTAGCACACCTGCACGGGAGAAGGCTTGTAAAGGCAGTGCCTCCGACTGAGGACACACCAACTCGCAAGTGTCTGGCTGATTCAGGGCCAAGGGCCTTGACTGCCTTTGGCTGGGGAGCAAAGGGCCCAGAGAAGAAGCTGTGCAGAGCAGCYGCCCTGCCTCCAAATGGGAGGAATGTCCCCGCAACCACCTCCAGAAGGGTGTGCAGCTCCTCCCACAGCAGAGCCCTCAGAYCCTCCCTGTCACTTTACCTCTCCCTTCAGGCTGAGGAAGGTGGCTTCTTCAAAGCTGRCAAGCCTCTCGCCTTTCTGGGCCATGCAGTTCCTCAAGACCTCGGCTTTTCTCAGACTTGTGAAGGCCTTGGAACAAGCACAGCGAGAGCAGGTGAGCGTCGCTGCTCAGCCTGCATGCAGCCCCACCACTGCCACCTGCTTGCCTCCCACATCTCTCTGAGGACGGGTCACCTCTGCCCCTGGCAATGCCCACCCTCACACACATCACAGCACTCCTTGCAKGCTCTCCTCGTGCCGAGGKGCTGCTTCTCTKGCCACAAAAGAGGCAAGCAGGAGGAAGAGGCTGCCTCTGAGCCCAGCCATTCATGCCCAGGTGCCACAGAGGCCTGTCCTTTGGCAAGGGGGAAATGGGCTTGCCCAGGGCAGGGCAGTTGAGGGGCCTCCATGTGCAGAGGGCTCTCTCAAGCAGGCCAGCTCACCAGGTAGTTGTTGGAGACATGCAAGTAGGCAGCGGCACTTTCCAGCAGATAATAAAGCGCTCTGGCGTCATTGCCCAGGGCCAGGTGGTGGTGAGCCAAGGGCACGAGCACCAAGTCCACAATGGACTTGCATTCACAGGAGCGTGCGGCACCGTGCGGCCCTTTGGTCTTGCTGAGCAGCRTCTCTTCTGTCTTGGCCACAAGCTCTTCTGTGGCTCTGTTTGGAGACAAGATCACAGAGGAAGAGGAGACACGCTAGCATCCCCTGCCTTGCTCTGCCAGCCTAGAGGAAGAGCACCGTGCAGCTCTGCAATGCCCAGCTTGCTGCAGTGCTCTCTTACACCCAGAAAGCCCTAGGATGACMGAGCTGCCACACCATCGTGGCACAATCATCACCGTGATGCCACTGGCTTCCTCAAGGATGCTCCTCCCCCACGCCATCACACCTCAGCTCCCACCCAACAGGCCAGCTCTTTCCTAAGCTGCCRTCACAGCCAGTAGGCAAAGCTGGAAATGCTTTTGCCCTTCTCCCGCACACCCTCAAGCCTGCTCTCCTCACCGTAAAGTCTCATCCCAGAAGCTCATCTTGTTCTGCYGGGCWATTGCAGGATCTGGAAACAAAGCATGAGCTAAAGTTCTCAAGAGGAAAAAGCTGCRTTTTGCTTACTCTACCAGGAGGAGAGGGGAGCCAAGGCATGGACAGCACCTCTTTTCCTGGCCAGTTAGCCCCGAGATCTCCTTTCACTGCAGGTGTGTTATGTTTTGGGCAAGGGCAGCACAGCCACCAGGAAAAGGCACCTCGGCCTGCTGGGCTGCAGCGTGCACCCCAAGGCTCCTTTCACTGTCAGGGGATGGGCTGCTCTCCGGTAATTGCAAGGAAAGGCAGGACGGTGCTCAAGGGCACAGAGGCTCTCTGCTGTGTGCACAGCATGTCTCAAGCTGTGCTGCTGTGCTCAGTGGAGGACTCAGCTAGTCTTGGGAAAGCATCTGCAGTGCACTGAAAGAATCCCTAGGCTTAAGGGAACTGCTTCTGCAGACAGGYTGGAGACACRGGAGCACCTCCAGGAMTAGTGCAAGCACAGTGGGAAGGCCCAGGCTGCAGGACAGGGCAGGTAGCATACCCGGAGTGGTAGGGAGCTCATTCCTCATGGCTTCYTCGTTTGTCCAGCTGGCAGAGCAGCCTTCGCCAGCATCGTTGTCACAGCTGTCTCCCTCCAGGGTGCTGCTGATGGCAAAGCGGTGGAAGGCCACAAAGTCCCCTCCGCCGCAGCACGGGCACCTGTGCGCTTGCTTCTCCAGGAAGGCTGCGCACTTGTGGTGCATGGCCACCCTCTGCGCCTTGRGCCACAGCTCGTACGCGGCCTCCCGCAGCAATGGGGCATGGAAGGCCAGCACATYGGACTGCAGCTCCTCTGTCTTCTGCTCATCTGAAAGGCAATGGGGTGTTGCAACAGTCAGAGCTGTTGGGGCCATAGCTCAGGGCCATCCCAGTCAACGGATGAAAGATGGTGATCCCTGGGTGGGGATCCTTGGCAGGAGAGCARCGCTCCTGCACTCAGAGCCTCCCAGCGCTAGAGCAGAAGGGCCACTTTGCCTTGCTGAGAATAGCATGGCCCACACAACACGCTACTGCTCTGCTCTCCCTCCCAACGCACAGTAGTCAGCGGTCCTGCAACCAGCAGCGCAAGGAAGCCACAGCCAGCTCCTCCTTTCCGCTTGGGAAAGCAGGAGCAAGCCGCTACGCTGCCCATGCCAACCCACCGCCAACTCTGAGGCTGCCCTGGGCCCTACACACGGCCATGGAGGCAGTGCACCACGSTCTGGGGSAGCCTCAGCASGAGCACAGCCRGGAGCAGCAGAAGGCCACAGTGCTCCTGGCTTTGCCTTGTCACCACTTACCATTCTCTTCCTCCTGAGTTGTGGCAGACCACTTGATGGAAATACTGCTGTCTTCTGCCACTGTTTTGGCATTCTGCCACCTCAAGATGTTGCTTTTCACCAAGATGCTCAGGATCTGCTTCATCTTGGCCCTGGTCCACTTGGGAAGGATGTGGAAGAGTAGCTCCGTGCTGAACACRGGCCCAAGGATGGCTGCACACTTCAAAACCATCCGTTCCGAGAAATTCATGCTGTCCAGCTCAGTCAGCGCAATCCCTGMCAAACACAAGGCACAGCTCTGGCTCCTGCCCTCTCCCAAGGCTGAGGCCAGTGAGCCTGAATCCTCTTCAACACAGGAAGCAATAGAGTTTAGCCTTGCTTCCCAGGGACAAACACCCTTCTGCAGGTGCAAYGCGGGGCACACATCTCCAGGAAGCTGCAGCTTGCCTGCAATCCCGGGAAGCAGGGACCAAGGAAAGGAGAAAGCCCCTAACGAACGGCACAGTTGGAGCAGGGCTAAGCACCTCACCTTTCAGGCTGGGAGGAAGCACCGTGTGCTGCAGGTTCACATCAGCTTTGAYGGTGCACACCCTGCAGTCCTGGYGCGTGCTGGACCTTCTGGACGGGCCAACAAGAGGAGCCTCCATCACAGAAGCTGAGTGGAGCAAGAGAGCAGGAGAAAGCGGTTGTCAAGAGGGATACTGTTCATCTCGTGACTTGAGCTCGCGAGCATTATTCATCTTCCCTCCCTCCATCCTCCTCTCCCTAGCATTCAGCCCCGCAGGGCTTACAGCAGCTGGGGTCTGGCTGCGGCGGCCCCATAAATCCTGCCATGTCTGGCTGCAGGGCTGCAGGCAAGGGAAACTGCAGGCATGCAACTCTCAGCGCTGCTCCAGGTATGGGCCACCTCAGCTCATACTCATTCCTAACCATAAACAGGGCTGAGCTTAGTGCCAGCGAGCACCACTTCTTTGCTGATTGCTTGTGATTTTCTGCCACATCAGCATTGCTTGGTGACCCTCGCAAAGCTGCCCAAGKCCCCAGCCTGTGCTTGGGGACTATTGCRGCAGCAAGGCAYGCAGAAACCCACACCACATCCAGACCAAGCTCTGGGCTGCTGCCCCATCTGAGCATGCCATATTCTCAGGGGAACACAGTGACAAGAATGGGTGCTGGAAGATGGACCACAACTAGGCAGTCAGCCACAAGGGTGCTTACTGAAGAGCTTCTCCCACTCGGCCTCTCTTCTTTCAGCCTTCCCTAATGGGCGGAGCAAGAGCATGTTGTTCTCACGGAGGTAGCTCAGCAGTTCCTCACAGTAGTAGGGCATCCCACCACTTCTCTGCATCAGGAACCTGCAAAGGAGCATATGCAGCGGGGGGTCACACAGGCAAAGGAAGGCAGGACACTCTTCAGATGCGCCTCTTCACCATCTGCGACTCCCCCTGCCTCTGGCAGGTGAGGTGTCCTGAAGATACCGCAGTTGCTGAAATGCACAGAAAACCAGAGCTCAGCAGCCCTGCCTGCCACTTACGTCTCTAGGTCATGRGGCACGCTGAGCACTCCGAGGTACTGGCAGGCTTTCTGCACCACAGCTGAAGGGCTCAGCTCCTCCAGCCGAATGTAGGTTGTTTGCTGCAACTTCCTGATGTCTGCTGCAGCTTTGCAAAGCCTCTGTCCTCTACAGGGACCAGGAGCAAAGCCCATGACCACCAAGCTTGGCAYGTCTCTGAGCACGTGCGACATAACAGCCCAGGAGGAAGAGTCGATATAGTGCGCGTTGTCAATGACGAAGATGATGTTGTCTTCAAAAGTCTGAAACAAAGAGGTTATTCGGCATGCATTCTAGGCAATTCGTAAGCATCTTCACCAGGACGAACCTTGGCCAGCCTCTCTGCAGACAGAGAACGCTCTGCAGCCTCTCTCCTCTGCCTGCCTACTTAGGGGGTCAGTAGCCCCTCACATCTTCATTTCTCTCACACTTTAAGCTCTCTTGGGTAAGGAGGTACACGAAGACTCCAGTCCTCCTGCTGACTACAAGTCCCCCCTCTTGACAAGAGGAAAGTTCTCAGAGGGCATGACAAGGGACATTTAGGCTCTGACGGGCAASGACTCCAGGACATGCTCCCCCTGCCACCTCCCACCACTGCTGCAGAATCCTTCCCCTCGCTGATATGGGAGGGAGAGAATTGCTCACCTTCCGGAGCACTTTCTTAAAAGTCACCTCTTCTTCCAGTGTCCTTTGAGCATTGCTCAGCTGGGAAACCTTCTGTGACACCGGAAACTGCCCAGAAAAGCACACGCACAGAGAAACATCCTGTCAGGGCATTTCTGCACCTAAAGCCAGCACGCAAGTGCAACCCAGCAAAACGCTGCTGCCCTCAGCATCTTAKCTCTCCTCCACACAATGGGGAGGAGACAGTGTGGATGTCAGCTTGAGCCTAGARCACAGCTCCTGCTGAGGGTCTCTGGCAGAGTGCTTCCAGCCAGTGTTTTGGAGGGGAGGGAGGAGGGCAGCGAGTGGCAAGAGCAGAAGAGTTGCTTTCCTCACAGATGGCATTTGGGGATTATGCTCTTGGTGGCAAGAGCAGAAGGGTTTCTTTCCTCACAGTAGCTATTTTGGGATGGTGCAGAGCGCTCATGCAATGGTGAGCTCAGCATCAGGTCATCAGCCCCATCTCCATGTCTCTCTGCAATGGCCTTTCCAGGAACCTGAACTGCCTGCAGCAGCCTGGCACCTGAACACACCCTAAAGAGGGAGCCCTGCGCCAGGCCCACACACACAAGGCTGTGCTATCCCCCTGCTCTTTCCACCAGAAGCTAAGGCCACTGCTCAGGAGAGCAGCCAAAGGACCGCTGCCACGGGACGTCTCCCAAGCAGACCCTGGCCCCGGCCACACAGGGCTCTCGCTCTCACCTCAACCAGGAAAGAGGCRTTGAGGAGGCAGTAGCTGCTCTCTTCCAGGAGCCCTTGCAGCTTCTCCTGCAGGACCACTTGCCTGGCGCTGCAGGATGTGCAGGCCTGCAGGCCCATTGCCATGGCCAGCATCACTCGCACCACCGAGTAGTCCTGCTTCACGCTGAGCTCTGTCAGTGCCACAGCCACTACCCTGCCATGCAAAAGGAAAAGGCACCGAGATTCAGAGAAGGCCCCGAAGGCCATCAAAGCAACGCTCTTAGGGAGAGGCACAATGTGAGGCTGAGAACAAGGCCACTCTGGACAGAGAGCCCCAGGTGGGCCCCTCAATGCAAGCAGCATTTGTCACGCAGGCCACTTGGGCTTCTTCTCTTTGCTCTGCAGCTGCCCAAAAAGCCCTGAGCTCAGGCTCTGCTTTGCTTTGTGCCGGGCCCAAAGGAGGAAGCTGCAGGGCAGGGGCTCCAGAAGGCCCCTCTAGCTCCCTCAAGAGCTAGCAGGGGAGCACGCAGCTGCTCTGCTCCTAGGCACCAGCAGACATTGCTTCATGAGGGCTGCTGCAGCCCAAGGGCCAGGCACACTGRCAGAGGGCCTTGAGGATGCCAGCAGTATCAGGAGGAAGGCAGGGCAGGCGATGCACACATACTGCTCAACGGCACTCACCTGTGCCCAGCAGCCCGGCCTAAATGGGCAAGTTCCGAGAGTAAATGGCTCTTTCCAGAGCCTTTCATGCCCTCAAGTGCCAGGATGTGGCTTTCCTTCCGAGCCACATACGCTTGCACGTATCTTTGAAAGAGGGCAATCTCCTTCTCCCGCCCTGTGAAGGCAAACAAGAGAGCAAGCTGTTGCAGCAAGCTCAAAAGCAAAGAACCGCTGGCACCCTTCCCTCTCGCCGCCATGGCACAGGCCCTCCCTCCCCGCCTCCCCATTCCCACAGCGGGACTAGTCACTACCAAGGGCAGGGGATGGACGTTAAGAGCCCCTTAGGCATTCTCCACCTACCGAGCAAGGGGGAATTCTCGTGCCTCTCCTTTTTAAGCTCCATACCAAACATGCTAGCAGGAGAAAGAGACAAACCAAACTCAATGAAGGAAGCAGAAGCTGGAGGGTGCAGAATCACGCATAGAGCTGTGGGTGCCCTCTTGGGTGCCCGCTCTTCTTTCAAGTGSCGTGGTATCCTGCCCACACTCGCACAGTGTGGGAGTGCTTCCCTGGGCTTTGCTCACAGGGAGCCACTTGGACAAGCAGGACCTTACAGCAGATGCCGCCACGGTCATGATGAGCAAGGGAAAAACCCTATCTGTTCAAGCCAGGATAACATTCAGAGGCAGCAAGCAAAACAAGCAGAAAACACCTGCTCTCTGCAGAGGGGCTGCAAGGCCTCMTGTGCCTACAGACACCAAGCAGCCTTCTGCGTGCCTACGGTATCACTCCTAGTCTCCTAAGAGCAGAAGGTGCATGGCTAGGCAGGCCAAAAGCAGAGCGATGCCCTGGCTTTCCATCTCCTCAACCCCAGGGATGAGAGGCCCAGGCAGGGACCAGCTTCAGCTCTTTCTGCACAACTGCTGTGTGCTGACCAAGASTTGAGCCACGCGTCCACCGTGCTCCCAAGCAGCCTGCTCAAGGAGGACACTTACAGCTCTTCKGAGATGCCAACGTATTGATAGATGGGGCCAGGATCAACAACTCCCTTCATCTTGACCTCGGGCAGCTCCTTGAAGCAGGCCTGGGGCAGCCGAGAGGCASCATAGGTTGCTGTGTCACACGACACTACCCCAGGATAGGATTCCATCAGGCGGGCTGCCAAGTTCACTTTCTGGCCAATGACTGCCACAGAGAGAGAGAGAGAGAGAGCACACATGGAGCTACTTAGAGACCAAGCCACTGCAGCCTTCAGGGCCAACGGCTGCCTGGCCTGCAGCACAGGCACGCACCCGCTCTGCTCTTCCCGGTAGAGCACAGGCCAAGCCCTGGGCCCAGCCCAGCAGACACGGGCCACAGGCTGCTGCCAACCACTCTGCCTCTTCCTTCGGCACACAGCTCTGCTTCAACAGAGCTACCCAGACACAGGCGCCTCTGGCGGGCACGTCCTACCTGTGTACTCGTGCCTCATGCGATGGCCCACGACTCCGCAGAACACCGTCCCGCTTGTGACCCCAACGGAGACCGCTCTGACACAAACAGAGTGAGAGGGATTCAGCAGGGTCCATGCACAGCCCGCAATGCCCACCTCCCTTCACTCTTCCCCACTCACTCGAGTTTGGTGGACCTCGAGACGCACGCCTTGGAGATCCTGAGAGCACTTTCCAAGGCGTGGATGCTTTCGCCGGGCACCTTGTCACCAGGGAGTCCAAACACACAGAGCAGCGTGCAGCCCTGCCAAGGACACACGCAGCACACCTTGGCACAAGGCCGAGAGCAAACAGCCTCGTCCCAAGCGATTCCAGCCTCTGTGGAGCCCAGCGCAGCCTCGAGCCCAAGGGGGCTGATCCCACCGCCAAGCTAGAGCTGCTTTGCTTTTGCCCACTGCTCAACACACAGAGCCACTTCCCTTTGCTTTGCTGCCCACGCTTTTGCGGGCTGCACTGCTCCCCCACACTTACTTTGTCAAACATGCAGATTTTGTTGACCTGGCCCTTGCAGGGACGCAGGATTGCCGATATAATGAGGCTGCTGTCCTGGATCCCCTTGCACAGCTGCTTTCGGCTAACGTCTGCCGCAAAGTGCAGCTTGACAAASAGGCAGCTCACCGGACGTAGCTCAGATAAGCACTCCAGGGGCTGTCCATCATCGATCTGGAGGACAAGAGCGGCACAGCTTCAGCAGCCGCCTCTGCCTSAGCCCCCGCTGCCTGCAGCACTTCCCAAGGCAGAGCGCAAAGCTGGGCTCTAGCAGGTGCTATCAGCGGAAGGCAAAACCTCCCCTCTGGGCAAAGCAGGCATCAGCACGTGCAGCACAGGCTGCCTGTGCCTTTTGCAGGCTGCATTTATTGAAATCCTGCAAGAAATCCCTGAGCAGAGAAAGGACCCTCAGGAACACCACACCTTGCTAGAGGTATGAACGCAAGGGGCCACCCTCAGTGAAGCTCTTAGGACTCCAGGGGAAACTCCCTCTTACCCCACAGGCACGTCCAGGACAGCAGCACTGGAAAACCCAGAGGGAAATGCACCTCCCACCACCCCTCTTTCTCTGCAGGAGTACTGGGCGTGCAGGGTCCAGACACGGCTCACACTGTGTCCAATAGCCCCACGTTCTTGCTAAGCGGGCCTTTTCTTTGCCTGGCTGCTTTCTGGAGACCTCCCTCTGTGCAGTGCACAACCCCTCCTTCCCTCCAAAAACGCAGCTCCCCACACATCAGGCTTACCTTCTGCACAACAGTTGCTGGGATGTACTTGTGCAGGACCTGCCCCAGAGGACACCAAGGGGGCAGGGTAACAGCAGGTCTCAGGATGCCTACAGAAGGAAGAGCCAGGGGGTCACTGGCAGCACGGTGAGGGCTCTGAGCCTGCCTAGGGGCGTGTTGGGAAGCAGAGGCTGGCACTGGAACATGGGAAGAAAACTTCTTCTCCACCTGCACCTGTGTTCCTCTTGCAGCTGCTCAGCCAGAGCAGCCCCSTGCAAGGAGGAGGAAGCAGCCAGCCCCTTGCTGAAGCTCTGCAGCGCCACAGGCATGAATACGAAGCGCAAACGACAGAGGGTAGAGTGCGTTTCCCGCTGGCCTCTGAAGAAGCCCACCGATATCTTTCTGGGTGCCACAGAAGGGCATGGAGTTGGCCCTTACCTGCCTGCTGAGGCAGAGAGGAGTTTAGCCGGCCTCGGTTCACCTTGGACAAGATGTCTTCATATTCACATTCAGACATCTGGTCCATGCCTAGAACCTGAAGGCACAGAGAAAAAAATGGGCTCAAGCAAAGCTCCATGACCCACAGAGGACATCACTAGGTGAGCCAAACTCTTCCAAGTGCCCTCGCCCGCTCTCCTCAAACGCAGCAAGCRCTATCCCTGAGCGAGAAGGGCAAGAAGCACAGCTCCCCACCGACATCAACACCTCCAGCTCCCTCCACCATCATCTCCTCAGCCTTCTCACCCCTTCCAGAGTCACATCCAGGGCCAGGTGCTCCCAGTTGCTCTAGAGGCCATGCCACCCACCTTCACAACAGGCCCGGCAAGTCTCCTCGTCCTGACCCTTGTCTGGTTACACAGCTCCCAGCCGCGGGCTGATAGGATGATGTCACTTGCATTGGCAGCATTTTGCGCCTGCCAGGCGTCCCCCACAGCCTGGCCAAAGATCAGGAAGCGCAGCTCCTTTTGATCTCCCACTGTGACGAAGGACATACGCCCTGCGGAGATCCCTGGGGAGACACAAGCAGAACTGACGGGGAGAGCCTTTGCACCCCCACAGTCCCTGCTGTTCCACGCTTGCCGGGCTCCCTCTGAAACTCGGCGCTGCACACAGGCTTCCGACGGCTTCCTCCACCAGAGGCTCAGCACCCTGGCGGTTTTGCTTGCCGTCTGCACAGTCTGTGTGCAGGCAGCTCATAAACCGCKGCTTGAGAACACCCAGGAGCCTCCCACAGAAGAGACTTAGAGATGCCCAASCAGGGAGGGATCACCACCTCCCCGCGATGCTGCAAAGCACCCTGCGGCGCTGCACAGCACCACGCACGGCTCTGCACCCGGTGCAGCCAATGCAGCAATCCCCATACCTATCTTCAGGCGGAGCTTCAGACCCACATCCGTCTGCCGCATCCCGTATTTCTGCTGGATCCGCTGGCTACACTGCAGCACCAGGCTGATGGTGTCCCTCAGCTGGGCTTGCCTTACTCTCCAGAGCACCAGCACAGCATCTCCTAGGGAAAGCAAGGGCACACAGAACGCTCCCAGAAGATACAATCCTTCCAGAGCTGCATCCTGCTGCTGTCGTGCCAGCAGAAGCCACCCCACCCCTCCTGTCTCACAGCCTGCCCCAACCCACAAGCTCCCAGGGGGGCCTCACAGACGCTGACATCATTGCTGTCCCAGTGCAGCTCCAGCTTGGGACCCCGCACAGCAACTCCCCCTGAGCACCAGGGGACCAAGAGAGCCACCCCTCCGCGCTCTGCCAGCTCGCCGCTCYGCTCCCCTTTCCCCCAGCTCTCCTGGGCAGCTGCAGCGCACCACGCTAAGGCTCTTTGACAAAGACATACCAGCAAACTTCAGGATGTCGCCTCCAAAAGTGAGCATCTCTGCACACAMAAGAAAGCAAGAGAAGCATTGAGCAGCTGCTCTCCCTGGCCCTCAGGGCCACAGCAAGGCCCAGTGTGCTCAAGGAGGCAGCAGCACGTCTCCTCGTGACCCAATCCCACACACACTTCCAGAAGAGCACTTACCCTCCAAGATGTCACCCATGTAGCGATTGAGGGTCTGCGTTAACTCATCTGCACCCTGGTCGAGGCTGGTGCTCTGACTGAACTTCTCTGTCAGAGCAGTGAAGCCTGAAAGAAGGACACAGCAGCACAGGGAAATCAGCAAGAGTCTACGTGCACCAAGGTCCTGGCACTTCCCACATCACTTTCACCCAGTCAAGAGAGACACAAGCCAGGAGAACACACAGGGGCTTCTGGCAGCCTCCTCATTCCACCTGTGCTCTTGAGCACATGGCTTGCCCATTCTCACATCTAGGCAGTAGAAGTGATCTGCAGCCCATGGCTGGGACTCTCCTGCATGTCCCACAGCCACCTCACCTCATGCCTATGGCCAGGCAATATCCAAGGGCCACATTCCCCAAGGGGAAGACCTCAGCAGCAAAGAGATCGCCTTTGAGCCACTTGCTATKACCAGTGGGATGACAGGATTCCAAAAGGGCCGCTAAATCCCAGGGGCCCGGGCCGCTGACTTCTTCTCAAWGCCTGCCCCTTGTAACCCTTACACCCACCTGAGACATCCGCAAAGAGCAAGACTCCATGGAAGTCCTGRAGAATGCGGGTGTCGTGCCTCAAGTCCTCAGCCAAAACCAGGTCAGGGACGAACGCAGCTACTTCCCCCAATAGCGAGCAGCGCTTTGAGTGTCGCTTCCAAGCGCAAGACATGATCGTTGCCCTGTGGTACTCTTGGCACCTCAGAAGAAGACGACCGTGCCCAGCAGGGAGGACGACTAGACAGCGCTGTGCACACTCGCACACTGAGCCTGGGCCCTTGTGAGGCACGCCTAGCCCTCTCTCACCAACGCAGCGTCACAAGCAGCTCACAGTGACATCGGTCCCGTGCCAGCAGTTACCCGTGACCTGACACCGTGTCCCGATGCACTGTCGGGGGAGGTTTCAATATGACCCCAAGAGCGAGATTAAGACACAAACGAGGTCAAATACTATACAAGCTTATAAGCTCTATTCTCATGATGGCGACAGGACAGAAAGAAGAAGCAAAGGAAAACAAGACAAAGAATAAGAAAGATAAGCAAGCAAGCGGGAGAGATGCAGCAAGATTAGTTACCACCACCACCACCTGTCCAGTTACATTTCGTTGGCTCTTCCACGGCCGTGGCCTGTGGAAGGTCTTAGATCATGTCTCTTCCAGGCGGACCCCAGCCGCTGAGCCTCATGTTTCTTTTGAGGATGGGGCTGGCTTCAGAGAATCCCAGCTGCCCGAGCAGGTGCAGTTGTCACGACCTGGAAGTGAACTGCACAGGGCAACATTTGCAGGAGTGCCCTGTGACCATGCACCAGTTGCAGGAGTGCCCTCGCTGGCTACAAGGCAGCTCATTGTGGCAACAAGCAACATCTCCTAGCCACCTGCAGTGGAAYGGAGCTTCCTCACTGACTTGGTCTCTCTCCCTATCTACCTCTTGACTGGGGGATCTGGACATGAGCCAGACAGCCTTACTCTGCCTGGACACCACCACTGTCCGTGACCTGCCCAAATGGAGCTTTCTGGAACTCGGGGACAACATTGGGCTCTGCCTGCACATACCTCATTTGCTACCTCACAAAAGCTGCACTTTCTCCTTTCTCCTACTTGTTCGTCACCCTGCTTTAGCTTACACACCCAGCGGCTTCTGCTTTTCACATCTTGAATGCTGCATGGAATACAGCACATGGGAATGTGCCCACACTCGGAAGGCTTCCCTGTTGCTTCTTGGAGCAGCCTTCTTCTTCTTGGGAGCACTTTTATTACCAATTTCCTGCCCAAAACAAAGTCTGAACAAAACGGCTCTCCAGGGTGCCACCTTGAAGTCAACTGTCCCAGGCAGTAGCCTCATGCAGAGTACAAGATCCCATGTTTGCAGGCTGTTTGGGGACTTAGATGGGGGAGGCACAATGATGTACAGATGCCTTTGATATGTGAGCATCCACATCACATGGGCACGCAGCCCTCAGATGTGCAGTGGCATTGARGAGCAGGGSCTACSGGCTGGTTGGTCCAATAGAGTTTATTTCATAATTGGCAAGCCCTTCTGTACCTTACAAGAGTGATCATGCGAGCTACACATGTATGCTACATATCCCTTCTACTAATCCTGATGTGCTAACCCTGTTTGTAAGTGTATTTTAGAGGCCTTGCCAAAAAATGTCAGTATTGCTGATATGATGGATGCTTGTGCCTGGGTAGGTACACCGAGGAGCATGCTGATCACATGGCAGCTGCCTCTGCGGCCGTGGTCAAGCCTTTGATACAACGAGGTGGGCCAGACAAAGGCCTGAAATGTTACAATTGTGGGAAACATGGTCATCTAATAGCACAATGCAGAATTGTGAAACAMAAGAACATGGTAAAGAGTTCTGAGGCAACTTGCAATTGCTGTAAAAAAAATCAGACATCAGGCAAATGATTGTCACTCAAAATTTAAGGAAAGATGGGACACCCCTGGGAAACAGGGGGATGAGTGCACTGAGACCTGGAGCGATGACACAAATAAGGTCTCAGGCTKCCTGGATGGCATCTCCGCCGCCACAACAGGGAGTACCGGAGTGGACGTGGGAAGGGCAGTAGAAACAACCCTAAYGGACTCCCAACTGCAATGTATTCCTGTGGCAGGAGCAGGGGCAACCAGTAGCATGGGCCAGTAGCATTTCTTTCATAATCAACAAATCCCTATATACTTTACAAGAGAGATCACACGAGCCACACACGTACGCTACATATCTGCCCTGCCARTCCTGGTGTGCCGCACTGACACATCTGAGGGTACCATCCAATTCTTTGTAAGTTTACCTATAGGGTCCCGGATACAATGCCTTTTTTGCCCAAAAGCAAGTGTGCCACTGTTGCTAAGGATTACACTAGGACTGTCCAATCAGTTTCATGGTCATGCAGCAGATGGGCAGCTGCCTTTGTTTTTGGTCCGCTGATGGAACAAGTACACTGTTGGCCTTGAAGTTGGTTATCTACTAACAAGGCACCCTGCTTGCTGATAGACAGTGTAGTGCCGTCCTTGAAGTGGGCCCCTACATCTCCCCCTTTTTTGTTTAACTATTACACTGCTCTGCTTGCTCCTACTTGAGCAACCTTACCATAGTTAATTGATCACTCAATCACTGAATACATACTAAGAAGCAAAGAAGACAATTAGTGACTTTATGCTAACATGAAGCAAAGGATGATAAATTGTTTAGTTTGCTGTCTGTTCCCATGGTTTCCYGGTTATCAATCCTTGCTTGCTGGACCATGGCCTATGCAGGGTTAATAGAATGGCCACTTCAGCATCTTCTCCCATCTATTCTACTGGCAATACTTGCTTCAGAGCATGTTTAACAATGGATTGCATTAACTTACAAGTATATAGAACACAAGGGTCCAAATCCAAGAAGAGTTCTAGTAGCTCTTTACAAGTCCATACACACACCAGCCACGCATTCGTGGAGCCTATTCCATGTAGCCACATCCCCAGTTCATCTTTATGCATCTAATTATATTAAAGTTTATCTGCTAGCCAGTCAAGATCAACCTTTTGATTTTGTGTTTAATCATGACAAGACCCCCATTTCCCATAGAGCATTGGCTTTCCATGCATTAGGCTCTTTTAGCTCCATAATTTCCACTTTGATGTCCCTCGTTGAGTCCTTGAAGCTTCTTGAAGTATCTTGAAGCTTCACTGGACAGAATTCTTTCTTTTTCAGCCCCTCTACAGCGTGGACCACCAGTTTCTCCATGATCCACATTAAGCATGGAAATATTATCAGAGCTCCTGCAAGAAATCCCAGCAGTAACAATACCCCTTTCATAACTGATATTACCCACGTGGGGAATCCCTAGACCGCCAACATATTTTTCAAATAGAAAATCCATCATCCTCCTGTATTTTCTTCGTTAACTCCATCAGTTGCTGGATGCTCGCATGAACTGACTGTGAATGGTCAGACAGTTTCATACAGCACACGCCACCAAAGCCTTGACATCCATGTCCCTGGACTAACAGCAAATATTCAAGAGCAGCACGATTGCTCTTTTTATAGATTTCCATCGAGGCATTTACTCACCAAGCCTTTACTACATTCTGCCCCAAGTAATTGAAATTCAAACAGTAATMCATCTGGACAGAACCCAGGAGGTCTATTTGCTGCACTTCTACTGACAGCTGTGGCAAATAGCTTAGGACACCTTCTGTGTCCCATTGCCTCAACACWGTTGCTGGGCACTTGGGATCGGTCAGTGCTTAAGAGTTAATCCCACGAGACAAGTATGGAATGGCTGTTAGGTGTTGTCATTGATGCACAGAAAGTAGTTTGATTTAGCCCTCTGTCTAGGGTCATCCAGACATTCTTGCTGCCGCTGCTCCAAGGTGTCAGGTACTTTGGGTGAGAATCAGTTCTGTGGTGCTGGTCATCATTATCCCTGTCTGCGAACCCAGGAACTCCAGCAGAGCCACAAGTCCCGATAGAGCCTGAGGACCACTGACARCTACCACAACCACTCCTGGCTCCACTAAGACCTTGCTCGATGCCCTCCATGATCTTCCCCAGGTCTTCTCCTGGGATCACACTTGATCCTCCACAACACAGTCCTGATCAGAGCCAGGATGACACCACCTCCAGCCTGTCCAGGGCTCCTCYCAGCCCCTGTGCTCACAGCTGTGGCCCATCAGGGGCAGAGGAGAAAGAYAGAGAAAACTTTGGTTTGGGATGGAAAGCAAGCCCAGTGCAATGCACACAGAGGGCTTGAGGAAAAGACAAGTGTGAATGGAGGGGTCCTGAAGTCAGGAAAGGGCAAAGGCAGGGCTCTGGGGCAAAGCAAAATCCAAATGAAGGACCTTACTGCCTCCTAAGGCCTTGCAATATCTGAAGGGAGGCTGCCAAGAGGAGAGGGTAGCCTTTCTCAGTGTTGCCCAGTGGCAGGATGAGACGAGAGGCACAAATGGAAAGAGAAGAAGCTGTGCGTGAACATGAAGAAACCATCTTTATTGAAAGGGGGACTGAGCCCCTGAAGCAGTTGTGGAGGTGCTCCAAAGCTGGCCTCACAAGGTCCTGATGGAGCATGAGGAGCCTTGGCCAACTTCCTGGCTGCGCTCACAGGAAGGACGGCAGCGAGCTGATCTCCAGGCGGATGTGGGCCAGGTCGGGGAGAGGTGGCTTCTGTGGACACACATGCAGAATGCATTTTGGGGCCAAGAGCGATCCCCTGTGTGCCTCAGCACGTGGCACTGCAAGGGCATGGCCAGGCTGCAGCACAGCACGTCCCCAGGAGAYAGGGCATGCCAACAGCAGGCCTCCCTTGCAGCTCGACCGCAACAGCACTGCCACAAGGCCTGCCGCGGCTGCAAGTGCTGGACATGATTGCCACATCATCCCTGCCTCCAGAGGGAGGCTGTGCCTGCCCACAAGCAGCATGGGGGTCTGTTGAGCTCAGGGAGAGGGTAGTGGAGGCCAGGACCCCCATGGGTGCCCAGTGCCTGCCACACAGAGGCTCTCACCTGCTCATCTTCCTTGGGCTGGTAGTGGCTCCGCACACTCCTCATTTTCCGTCCTGCTCGGGGACGGCAGTCCTCGATGTCAGCAGGAGGAGCCCAGGGGATGGGGTGTGCAAAGGCCTGCAAGGAGCGGTGGTGTTAGTGTGGTCAGGGTGAGGCAATGGGGAGGGGGAAAAGGAGCAGGGC